TTACTGGTATTTATTGTGCTTAGAACACTTCAGTGCTGACCCGCTCCATGGAATTTCTGGCCCATACGTTTATGGACTACATTTATTGAAAAAGCCGTTAAGGAGAAAGTACAGTCATCTCTTTAGAGCCCCTTTTGCATTTTGATTAATGTTTCTTCTCCCGGTTACTCACAACCCAGGTATTCTTAACCAGAATGACCTTTTGCACACATTTAACCAGAGTTTCCGTTTGCATACGTTTTACCAGATCATAGACAGTTTTCAAGGTCATTGTGGGAAACGGGAAACTGACATGATTCAGTTGAAGTCAAAGCCTTTGATCTCAATGGGGGGCTTCGAAGTGCTTGGCTGTGGTTGAATCTGCCTATGTTAGCTTCCTTTCACTCAACAGAGCATCAGCGGTTTGGTTGGTTTGTTTTGGCTGCTCCTGCTGTAGGCAACGATGGTGCTTTTAGCCATGGGGGTGGGGTTAACCCCTTCTTTATCCATGGCTTGGGGGAGGGTGGTTGGTTTTTCATAGATTTTTAGGATTAGCTAGCACAAATAACTTGCTATACCAAATAGGAATTGGCTTTGTAATTATCTGTGCATGCAAACATTTCTGCTTTTTTAGCTGTCCTGATTGTGACAAAGAAACCTGAGAGGGATTAGGGGGAGGCGAGGTTTCAGGGATGAAGAGGGGATGCGGAACAAGTTGCTTTTCTCCCCCTTCCCTCTTTTGGAATTATGTTGTAAATTCACAATATCACTGTCCAGCAATACGGTTAAATGATTCCTCTCAATATATATTTTTACAGAAGAAGCTACTTTAAAAAGCAACATGCTGGTAGGGTTAAATACCTGTAACTACCAACTCTAAATCCCTGTCTTCCTTTGCACCAGTCATGGGCACAGTTTATGTCATTGTAGGCATGCGCTTCAATCACTGTTCATGGCCCCTGAGGCCTCAGAGCAGAGCCCTGGCCCTAGGGAAAGCACCTGTCACCTCAAGGGAGCACGTGCTTACTTCACCGCAGGACAGTTTTTCAGCCCCTTCTACTTCCTGCTTCTTCCATGTTTGTCCTTGCCTGGTTCAGGTCACCAGACCACTCTGGGCACCCGGGGTCCCTCCTCTTTGTCCTTTCTCTTGGTGCCTCTCAACCCGCTGCAGCCTGAGAAGTACTTGTGAGCTATCACATGCGCACACGAGTACACACACACCGTGCTGCCAGGGAGTCCTAGCGGCTCCCACACCAGTCCCTAATTGTGTCCTGTAGGTGTCATAGCATTCGTTTATATGGCAGCCTCTGGCTGGAGCTCTTATGCCTTATGATGATGATGTCACTTGTCACTTCTGGTGCTGTCTGACCCACCTAAAGTAGCCGTAGGAGTGACTTTGCTGAGGTACCAGTGGGTGATGCACCACTGTCCCCTTAAAATCCATGGGACTTGAGAAGGACTGGACTTTGGCTGGGAGTCATGCCGGGTATGGATTAATCCTACTTGGATTACTTTTTTAAACAAGACACAGGGATGACTCTGAAGCATGTTCTCATGCCTTTAATGTGGGAAGTGACCCCCCCCCAAAAAAGCAACCAATAGCCTAATCTGGGATACAGTGCCCCTTCTAGTATACTTTTGAGGGTCTATATTCTTATGAGGCTGGATGTAACAAACTGTGGTTTGTCATGTGAATAAGCCAGAGGGATCTTCAGACGTATGTGCTCCTTCCCTCCTCCCTTCACACGTTTCTATACTGAAACAGTTCCACTCTTGCAAACCATAACATGTGGTTTGGTCTGTTCCATACAATCCAGGATTCCAGGTCCCGATGTGGAGGGCAGAAAACCAGCTGTAGTTTGCGACTGGGATGTAATGACAAACTATAGTTTGCTGGAAAAGTTTTTAATTATCAAGTTGCTCGAATGGTGTGTAGTGTGGAGAGGGAATAGGCAAGCCCCAGGATTCTGGAGGATTCTTCATATAAGCATAAACCACTGTTTGCTGTGAAGTATGAGCCTTGCTGTTGCAAAGGGATCAGTTGCTTTAAGTGTGAAAAAAATCATTCTTTCACTGTTGGCTTTAAAAATGTAGAGCTTCCAAAGCATTCCAGTGTAGCCTGTCTACCATCTTAATTTTTCTAAGTAATCCCATTGAATTTAAGAAACAAAGTAACAATTCAGAGAGACTAAGAACTGGCCATGTACATGGACAATTTTTAAAAGGGGGTGGGGGAGGAGATGCATTTAAGCCTTGATAAAATCCGTGTTTGGACCCTTCAGGCTGCGTATGAAATGTGGTGTAGGATTAAATCTGTAGTCATTAGTCAAGACCCAATCCATAGGCCCTGTAGTCATTAGTCAAGACCCAATCCATACCTATGCCATAGGAACCACTTCCCTGTAGGCTCACCCCACCCCATACCAGCAGCACTGGGATGGAGGCCAGTTGAGGTGATGGTTGTAAACGCAGTTAAAGAAGGTTAAGAAATGCATGTTAAATCCAAGGTTAAGAATTCCCCTGTTGCTTCCTTTTGGATAGGCTTCCAGCAGAACCCATGCAACGTGTCAGGCTAGTCCTTTCACAGTCTCTGCCCTCTGACACTTGGGTGTGTCTTCCCATGCCAATCCACCTTTCCCACATGATTCTTCCTCTCTGAGAGCCAGCTACATGGTGGAATGAATCCCATGCCAGGGGTTGGTCAGTGTGAACTGCAAGTCCCAGTCTAACACTCAGCAATACTGGTTCAGAAAAGACTGTTGTCCATGTGCTGTAGAGACTGGGATGACCAAAGCATAGGCCTGTGCTATGTGTGAACTGTTACCTTTGACAACCAGAATTCCCGCTTGAATTTCCAGCTGTACGAAGACCCTGGAGTCTGTCATACATAAGACAGCACAGTGTGTTCGATGCTCACAGGAATTATGTGATTTAATACGCAGCTCTCTGCCGGGCTGTGTGATTGGCAGTAACCATTGCAGGGCTGTGCAACTGGCAACTGTACTTCAATGGGATCAGAACCCGCTTATGCCCAATGGGAACAGACTGTTTAAGAAGGCAAGATGATGAGTTTTCTGTATACATCAATTGGTGCGTTTCTCAATAGGATTTTCAGCTCAGTGTCTGCAATCTCCTACTGATCAAAAAGCGCATGTGGTAGAACGACAGACAAATAAGTAGCATATGTACGTGTATCTAATTAGCCAAACTGTTATGCATAGGGGTCCCTGTATCATTTTGACACATTGGGTGGGAAGGGCCAGTTTTCACAATTTAGTCTAATCTAGTGGTAGAGCTTTCCCTGGTGTGAATCACTTCCGCTCGGAGGTGGTGACTTCCATAATTCAATACTTCTGCCCCATCCTACTGATTAAAACTAACAGATAAAGCAGTATAGGTCCGATTAGTCTTCCTGAAGAGCTGGGTTGCTGGGCACAAGTTGTGTTTTTGTTTGTAAAATTCCAAAATGCACACTCTCCTTGCAGCCTGATGCAGCCCATTCATCCTGCTGATCTGTATAGACTGTCCCAAACACATTAGACTGGGAGGGTATCCCTCTGTACTAAGCCAAGTCTTTGCTAATAAGGTCTTTTCAAACTGCCGGGATCGACTTCTTAAGTTGAGAGTCCAGGAATAATGTGATAGTTACTAAATTGTATGGACAGCAGCTGCGTGTGCTTGTGCATTGTTTTTAAGGGAAAGGGAAACACATGCATTTCTTAACCTTTTAAAGACCTTACAGCAAACCTGGGTCTGACTTTATCCTACAAAACACAGATTAAGAGGTGGCTTACTTCTAGTTATGGTCCCTGTGTAGTCCAGAAACCTTATCCAGGATCATTCTTGAGCGTCTTAAACAGGAACCGAACATTAGTTTGATTCTAGTACTGTTAAATTCTTTTGTCCTGAGTTCCCAGGTCTTTGGAAATAGTTTACACATGCAGTTAATTGTATCGTCTCGGGCTAATCACTCCCAGCTCCTTGGTCTCTGTTTCAGCCCAGGCTGTGCGTGTAAGCAGATGTTTAGCACATGTGGCAAAAGGGGGGCCCTTTGCGCACTGCACCCAGAGGCCTGCTCTGTGTCCCCCATTGCTTCCTTTTCCCTCGTTTTGGACAGGCTCCCAGCAGTGACGTGTGACTTGGTCGGAGGATAGATTGAATTTATGGGCAGCTTAAAAAACAAAACAAAACCACAACCAGCTTCACTTGCAGACTGTTCACGCTGGGTACATCTGCGTGTGCTTTGTGGCCCCCTCAATTCCCATGTTATGAGGAAACAATCAACTGTTACCGCACCTCAAAGCTACCTGTACACTGGAGGGCTGTGGATTTCCCTTTGATGCGGCCCTCTTCCTTTATAAAGACTAAAATCTACTCTTCTATGCATTAGGAGATCGAAGTAGTGCAATGAAATGAACATGTTCCCCCCCCCCCCAGTTTTGTGTATTGTTGTACCTTTTTTAATGAAAGAGTGAAAGTATTAATTTACCAATGGTGGGACTGGATTAAACCTTAATCTTTAATATGCTCTTTAAGTGATAAAGAGTACTGTTTGTTCATGGGTATTACATACTCTTATATGTGTTTAGTCTTTTATTTTTTAATTGTATGGTTTGGCCAAATGAAATTTAGTTAATGTGGTAACTTCATAAACTATGCTTGATGTGGTGTTCTTTAAAGACAAAGCAGATGTAAATGATTAAGACATATTTTTCACCTCCGTAAAGTGCAGGGTGGATCTTGACCTGCTTACAAGAGAGGAACATGTGGGAGCCATTTGGGGCTGTCCTCTGTTTTAGTTGTGAAAGCCTAGGAGGATTACGTTGTTGGTGAAGGCCTAGTCATATTCTCTGGGAACTTTTCTTCTGTAAAGAAGGTGGCACATCTGTTCTTCCAGCTCTTTTGAGGCAACTTCAAGGATTAAAAAGTTTACTTATGGAAACTGCTT